TCCAGCTCTTAGACTAAAACGAGCACTTAACCGATGCTAGCGCTACTGAGTTCTTTATAAATTACAGCTGGCACAACTTTTGAGGTGTTCTCTAGTTGTCGGCGGAGCTGGCTCCTATAAAAAAAACAAAAAATCCCATATTCCCTTGACCATCCCTGTGTTATCGTATACAGTATGCAGTGTGTTTAGTTGGTATGGTTTATAAGCAAGATCTCCTTGCATACACGAATAATCCTAGTTCCATAGGGAACACACCTTTTTGTTCCCTGCTCCCATCCTTGCATACTCTGGTATAAAAATATCAACCACAGCTCCTGTAGTCAGGCTCTCCCCATGCCATCCAGTTGGCCAGTGAGATTGCTTATTGCATTTGGAGGCCAGTAGGGAGGTTTGCGGGTTGGGAGAAGGTGGGAGAGACCATGGCTACATATCCTGTAATAGATATTTGCCTTTGGAGCAACTCTGAACATAATGACGAGTACGAGAGCCAGCAGTTTGAGCCAGTCAGGGGTCTACTGCATTGCAGATTGCTGTCAGACTAAAGCTGGCCATACATGCATAGATCTCTAAGAGGTTTCTCCATTCACGCTAAACAGCACAGATTGACAAATCTACCCTTCAGGGCTATTGTATTTTGACAACCGACTTCTGCTGCTGTCACTGTTCGGCTAACTATTTTCCACCCGGCACCTTGACAAATAATTTTTGGCCACGAAACACGTTACCTTGCCGGCCACCCCATAGTTAACTAAAAGTGGGGAGGGTCTTAAAACTCTTTGCAGATACTGGAAGCTGTGCTGAGTACTGTGTGTCAAAGTTTCCTCCTGCCACAGGCAATGGCTAAGGGAGACTTCTGAACTTAATATTGGCTATAGATAAGCTTGTTATTTCCCTCCTTCTTATGAGAGCATTTTTATTTTGTTGCCATACACCGATCAGTCATAACATTATGACCACCCACCTTATATTAAGTAGGTTCCTTTTTTCCCACCAAATCAGCCCTGACCCATCAAGGCATGGCAAGGCTCTGGTATTTAGCACCAAGCCATCAGTAGCAGATCCTTTAAGTCCTGTAAGTTCCAAGGTGAGTTTTTAATAACTTTTTTTAATCTTATCACTTTAAAATTATTAAAATAAGACATCTGTATTTTTACAGCAAACATAAATAGCGTTGTTCTTTTTGCTATAGTTTGAGTGGCACTGTAAAAGTCACAGTTTGCCCATATAGGTATTCCTTGGATGTTTAGGTGCCCACAAGGCCTCTTTATTGGCTGAGAACTCTTCTTATGCAACTTCCCAGCATCACAGTAGGACCGTACAGACCACACACACTGTACCGTGGTGGTAGGAGCTTCAGAATTGTACGTTTGTGTCCTTTGTACAAGTAATAGATCTTATTTGTGTAGGTTATGTATAAAATCAAACACAGTAGGTTGTGTGAGTGTCAATGTAATGAATTCTCTAATCTCGTTACTGAAGATACAGTCATGAACTAGGACATTTGGTAAGCTCCTTAGACTTGTACTTGATTGTCAGACTGCCTTGCAAACCAAGGGCTTCGTCTCAGACATTTATCACCTGGAGTAATGGCAAACTGCGATATGGCTGCCTTACAATACATTGTTTATTGTAACTGAACTAGTCACATTGTAAAAATTGGTCCATCGTCACACCCTATGCTGCTTTGTGTAAGTAACCTATGGGGTCTGCTTGCTATGCACAACTTCCACTTTTGGGCCCCAAAGCTAATTTGGCCACAGCAACTTTTATAAAGTGTATCTATCCTGTATCCACACTATCTGTATTAAATCTGTTTTCATCTATATTAAAACGTTCATTTAAAAAGTACTACTGCGCACTACAGCCTACTGTTCCTTTTAAAAATATAAAGCGTGAAAAAAATAACACCACACAATTATTAGGCATAGGGGTGTGTGTGTCACATAGTCTGTCAAAGGCACATGACCGCCTCTCCTCCAATCACAGGACATTTACTGCTGCATTGAGCACTCCGCACTGCAGTGCACAGTTTATGAATGGGGTATATAATGATGGGCCATAATGTGGATAGTGATCTCCTCTCGCTCTCCATTAAAAAACTGAACCCTTCGTTAGCAGTTAGTATTGTTTGAGTGATATTGCAAATACTGGACCTGATCATCGACATTGCCTGGAGGTAGACATGTTCTTGTTGTAGCTGTTCCTCTTCTTTTTCTTTTATACTTTTGTTTGAGGGCCATTGTTGGTGACTTTAGTGAGCAGTTAGATGCAGTCACTGTACGGGTGTTCTGACAGCTGGCAGGGGAGATGCCTCTGGCCACACTGTTTGCCCTCATCCATGTTGTTTTGCATGGAAGTGGGAATCAATTGATTTCTCTCTGTTACCCTGTGCAGCTAAAGAGAAATCTAAATGTTAAGATTAAAGGAGCTCTGAAATCCCAGCATATACTATTCTTTTATAACATCAGCATTGTAATAGGAATACATACTACAGTTGTTTGTGATGATGCAATCAAAGCTTACTTGAAAAATTCCCTTTTATGTAGTGAGTGCTGCCTTCCGTCTGCCCATCACTTTCAACTATTTCTGGGATTCCCAGTGTGCTTTGAATCTCTTTCCCTACTGCATAATGTGATACAATATCGATTTCTCAGGACTACATATCTCATCATGCATTGCTTCCAGCAAGATGATAATGATACATTGCTCAGACATCGAGTTGCAGTTCAGAAGGGGGGCTCTGTGTGAGTTGTGACACAAGGAACTGCGTATTCACAGGGCTGACTGAAATACTGAAATTGTGTAAGTGCATTGGGAGAGTGCATCCTATGGGCATCTTCAATAAGTATGTTTACAAACTTCTAGATTAATGATTATTAGGAGAGAGCTAGAACTTATGGAAATTCAATATAGAAGTACAGATTTATTTTTAGTTTTTGACAATAGATACTCGTTAAGGTAGTAGGACTCTACCCTGTCTATTGTGTCTCTAGCAGTGACCATTTGTACTGATTAGTGATGTAATTACTCCTCTAAGAATTAAAAGAATAATAGAATGTTCGCTATGGGGACTGCAGCTTGCAACAAAGTACGGTGGCTGTATTATAGGAAAGCTATGCGAAGAGAAACTCTGGAAGATGCCTGCTATGCATTCATGGTGCTGCTCAGACTAAAAATACATGTTCACCTATAAAAAAAGGCCTCCCTATCCCCCTCAATATCACTAGCTGCCCACCCCCACATTGCAGGTCCATACTTGCCATGTGCGATAGCTGGGGCCTCCTGCACGGTCTGAAGTCCGGCTACATAGGCCTGAATGGGAACCTTTAGTAAGTGTAGAAGATGTATCTGCATTGTTGGAAAACCCTATTGTATATATTGACATTCTTCTAAACAAGATGACAAAGGTAATAAGTAGCATACATCTACCAGGTAATAGTTGCTCTTGCAGGAGGTGTTTTATGCCATGATTGCATCATCAAGATTACATGGCTGGTCCTCATGAAAAAGAGTTTTACAGCCTGTCCTCTGCTGAGTAACCACTTGAATAAATAAATACATGGCAGGTGTGGTGCTTACATAGGACATTTTTTAGTTCTTTAAAGGGACCTGGCCTGGAAAACTGTACTTCAGTATGGTATACAACTTGGTTCTATCATCCCTGGAAGGTTAATTTCAAATGTTATTAGTAGCAATAGAACTAAAACCAGTTTACTGGTAAAGCCATATCCCTTCTATAGAGTATAAGAGGAGATTTATACAGTCATGTGACCCCCTTCCTTCTATAGAGTATAAGAGGAGATGCATACAGTCATGTGACCCCCTTCTATAGAGTATGATGGGAGATGTATATACTCATGTGACCCCCTTCCTTCTATAGAGTATAAGAGGAGATGCATACAGTCATGTGACCCCCTTCTATAGAGTATGACGGGAGATGTATGCAGTCATGTGACCCCTCCGCCCCCCTTCTATAGAGTATGATGAGAGATGTATGCAGTCATGTGACCCCCTTCTATAGAGTATAAGAGGAGATGTATACAATCATGTGACCCCCCTTCTATAGAGTATGTTGGGAGATGTATACAGTCATGTGACCCCCTTCTATAGAGTATGATGGGAGATGTATACAGTCATGTCACCCCCTTCTATAGAACCAGAATTACTCAGTCATAAACCAGAATAACAGTAAAACACATTCCAGCTCTTAGCACATTTACTAACACTGTATGTAATAAGGGTATATGGCAGAGTTTTCATTTGTCCTCTGTTCTGGGAATTCCCTCATCTAAACCACCATGTCAGCTTTACCTAGCTGGTAAATAAATAATTTTCTTGGTCCATGGCAGGTAAGTGAGACTTTTTTTTGTTTTACTCAAAATTATGTTATTTGCGAATGATGACATGTGCCAGATTGATTGACGTAAACAGTAATTTGTAATATTAGGTTCACTTCAATTCTTTTTATTTATTTGGTGGCAGCAGAGAAGATCTGGGCAGAAAAGTTTTCCTTTTCAGTTTAAATATTCCATGCAGATGAACTTTTGTCAAGAAACCCTGGCATGAGTTTGCTCATTGAGGTGCCTGTTAGCAGACAAAAGAGACTTTAGGTGCCTAGCAGAAGTGAAAGGTTCACTTGATAGCACCCTCGCCTTGTTATGGCCGAATACAAAGTACAGGAAATTGATAGGTTCCCTTTAAAGGTTAAGGTGCACCTTTCTTCACTTTCTCTTTAGTTAGATTGGTATCATGTACACTTTTTATCTTCTTTAGTAGTCTCACTCGTATCAATGGGCAATGGGTAACACACACAGGAAGAACTGAATTGAGTGGCTGAATAAACTGCTAGTGATGTAAACAATGACTTTATTGGCAATTTATCTTTGTTATGACAATGTGCAGAAAGTTAATTCATTATATACACAAACAACATGGTGATCCAGTATTTCAAATGCCAAAGTTTGCAGATCTGTTTATTTACGTTTTATTTATTTGTTTAGAGATGCATGGAAATGGAAGATGGCATTGAACAGGAAAGGAAGCTTTTCAAAGTAAATATGCTAAACCTGGAAGCCCAGACTAAAAACATGGAGATGAAAGCACGAAGCTGTGCAGACCAGAGTAAGTAGCAATAATCGGCAGCGGATGATATATTATTATACTATTATTATATAATGATGTATTACTTATAATAAGGACCATCCATTTTTAGACTATTATTATATTAATATATTATTATATCATGAAGTATTACTTCTAATAAGCATGATGTATTACTGCATAAATGGTATTGATTATTCTGGTTCATATGGGGGCAGTCATACAGTATATAGCTCAATCCTGCCCCCAATTTACCCATGCAGTACAAGGTTCGGGCCATTAAAGGCTACATTACAGGGTGATAATGAGCACTTTCAACATTGGATGCCCTTCTCATAATATTTATTGGTATCCAGTGGAGCACATATACACTCCAATGTCTATATGAGCTCCTTTGGTGTCTTAAATTCTGATGTGCCCTTACATCTTACAACACTCTTTGACAACACACACACTTCCCTCCTGATCATTGGGTCCATCTCTCATAAAGATGGTCCAATGGGGCAGTTGGATAACTAATTCTCATTAAAAATACGCTATACTTAACTTTTTAATACATTGCATATT